GCTCAGGCTCAGGCTCAGGCTCAGGCTCAAGCTCAATCACAGGCTCAGTCACAATCACAACCACAACCACAATCTCATATTCAGGCTCAGTCTCAATCTCAATCTCTATCTCAGCCACAACAACAACAACAACAACAAATTGTTATTACAAAGCCTGTAGTTCCAACATTACCAAACCAGACAGTTGTTCAAAATATTATAAAACAACCGGCTCAAGCGATACAAAGTCTTCATTTGCAAATTCCTGGTGGCAGAGTAGTCTCGCCCAATTTGAGTCCATGTACTAAACAAGTTAGTTCAGGAAATACGAAACAAGGACAACCAATGTCACCAGTGCTTAATAATACGGGTGTACCACCAAATCCTAAGCAACATCTTCTGCAGGCAGCGAAACAACAACAACAACAACAACAGCAACAACAACCATCCACCATAATAAACATGTCTCAAAAATTACCGATCAACGTTCATCCAGCCAGTGTTGTATCTGCACCAGCTCAGAGAATACATCATCCAGTTTCTCAACCAGTAACAGCTAAAGGTATCAATGGGCAACCACATCCGCTCAATCCAAAGGCTCATTTATTACAAGCAGTAGTACCAACAATGGTAACTGGAGCAGTTGCAAGTCCTCCAACACAACCACATCTTGTTGGTCCTCAGACTGTTCCAGCACCTGTAGGCTGTCCACGTCCACCTGGACCGAAACCTCAGGTACGTGTATTCTCATTTTAGGGATACATATTGATTTGTATGTAGAATGTTCAGTTAAATATTTATTTAAATTACTTGTAGGTAACTGGTACTATGGAACCTCCTAAAGTAGAAGTCTCTATGTCTGGTTGCATTATGGTACCCAGTGCAAGTCCTCAGAGTCGCGGAGTACCAATACCAACTTATGATGCATCTATGGTAAGTAAAATAATTTTTATGGTATGGAATACATTATATGTTTTTTTTTACGGTATAATTAAATAACATCGCTAAACTAATATGATTTTTATTAGCATGGGAGTGCAGGTACTGCTCCATCACCAGGTGCCCAATATAGTCTTGTACCTCCACATCGTGCTCAGAGTCCACCATTACCTCCACCTGCTCATCATCATGCTAATGCATCACAGGTATATTATTTTCTCATTAACTTATATCAGATAATAATATATGATTATTTAAACTAGCACAAAGTTGCCTAATGATCTACATTAATTTAATATTTGAATTCATAAAAATATGGTTAAAGAATAATATTATAATTTTCTTTTTTGCAGAGTGACGTCATTGTTAATCATTATGGTGGATTATCACGTACTACTGAGTTACCACCTCCACATTACATGCATACACAAGTTTTACAATATCAATTATTACGTGCCCAACAAGAAGCTTTAACACCACGTATAGCTTATCATATTCCAGGAACAAGATCACCTCATTTGCCATTAGATCCCAAACTAGAAACTGGTATAGAAGATAGTCACAGTCCACCTTTGGAATTAAGAAGAAATACTAGAACTACTCAAGAACGTACAACAGATAGTCCACAAGTTGCACAAGTTTACATGCTTCATGGAAGTACGCGATTACCACCGCCACCACCTCAATATAACGCCGGAAGTAATCCATCTTTGGCTGCACCAACTACAACAAGAGGAGGTTATTACGAGCCACCACCTGCTCATATACGTTCTCAATATCCTATGCCTGCTAGCGAGGCTCCTACAGACAATGATATTGCACCTGACAGACCAAAAAAACATCAGGTGGTAACACCACCTCACGCATCACAAATACCGCCTCAAGCAGATTCATTTCAAATGTTACTTCAACGTTATCCCGTTATGTGGCAAGGTTTGCTTGCCCTTAAGAACGATCAAGCTGCAGTACAAATGCATTTCGTTTTTGGTAATCCTAATGTAGCTAGGGAAAGCTTACCTTGTAACAATGACGGTTCTACTCCACCATTGCGTATCGCACAAAGGATGAGACTCGAACCAACTCAAGTAGAAGGTGTGGCGAGAAAAATGCAGGTATGTTATATATATGTATATGTATATATAAATAGTTAAAATTTATATATATGAAAATTATATTAAATGTTCATCAAATAATAATATTCCCTTTAAAACAGACTGATAACGAACATTGCATGTTACTCGCATTACCGTGCGGACGCAACGAGGTAGATGTATTACAGCAAAGTAAAAATCTTCAAACCGGATTTATCATGTATCTGCAACAAAAACAAGCCGCAGGAATTGTTAACATCGCTGCTCCAGGTTCACAACAGGTTAGTTGAAAATATTTATCTAGTTAATCAAATTGATTTAATTTTTGTATATTAGATTATTAACTATGAAATGTTTGATTACTCGGATTATTTTCATCTCGAAATCAGACATTTCATATTTAATGACCTAATATATATATTTTGGATTTTTTTGACGATAGAATCGACAAAAAACAAAAAAATTAACATAAACGATTGATAAATATAAAAAAGAAAAATATCTATTTGCAGCCCGCATACGTGATACATATATTCCCATCGTGCGACTTCGCAAACGAGAGTTTAGCGCGCATAGCACCGGATTTGCTTCATCGTGTCTCCAAGATCTCCCATTTGCTTATCGTCATTGCCACGGTTTGAGACTGGACATCATTTTGTATGAACAAATTATATCTTATTGGTATATTTTCTACCTAATTTTGCGCACCATGAGTTGGGATGCTACACGTAAGAACTGAAATATATGGCATGAAGCCTTCTGAGGTATTCCAGTCATGTGCAGAATTTCTAAAAAGATAAGAAAATGGAGAAAAAGGGATAGAAAATAATAGAATCAAGAAAGAAAGAGTATGAGAGAAAGAATTAAGAAATGAACGAACAAACAAATAAATAAATAAATAAATAAATAAATAAATAAATAAAAAAAACAGGACTCCTATTTATTAACAGGAGTCTTTCATCAATGACAATCAAATGGAATCCGGCGCGAAATCGCCCGATCAAATAGATCGTAAGCCAATTACAAAAGAAAAACAATAATTCAAGAAGACATCGGTCCTTCTCGGGGTTGTGTGACGTAGAGATAAAAACACAAGGAAGAGAGGCAAACCCGGTCTAATCGAGAAAGGTCAAAATCCCTCCTAAATCCTCTTCCTCCTTTTTCACCGTGTGTGTCTCCCTTCGTTAAGAAAAAAAAAAAAAAAAA